TGAAAAAAATTTGTGGTGATGGGGACACTCTTGCTTTCTGTACATTAATAATGAAATATTCCCTTTTAAGCTTTTAAGAGCTACAGTTTACCAGGAACTGACATGTAAACAAAGTCATGCCAAAAACCAACTATAGTTGGCGCTCTAACCATGAACAGCAAACAATACTGTCGCTGAAAGTCAAGACTTTCATCGACTTTCCTAATTTTGGGGGATTTCTGTATCTGCTTTATGGACACATTGTGTTTGGTAAATTTGGCTGAATCTTGTCAGGTTTCTATTTTGATTGCCTGTTTATGTATTTTCTGTCCCGAGATGAATAAAAACATTAAAAAAAGTTGCGTTTTGGTCGGCGTACGCACCACCGAAAAAGGCCATTTTTTCCCGTTATTTCACCACTGCACAACGCCCTCTTTTGATGAAACCTGTAAAGTTTGTGACCCTCTAATATTTCAGATAAAAAAAATCGCCTCACTAAGCTGGATTGGTGGTAACTGGAACTTTATTCAGAACACGACGGATACATAGCATGGAATACAGTTTTCTCATGATGTCGGTCATCACACAACAAAGTTCTCACACAAGTATGAATCTCGTCCTTGTATATATCTAGTGTCCTAGTCCTAGTCCTAGTTTTTTCCTAGTTCATTCTGATGACTTCACTATGACGCCCACAATTAAATGTCATTGGCTAGAACTTTATAACTTATCAAATAGCATCTTCGCCAGCTAAGGTATTGGCCGATCGACATTTATTTTGCGATGCCTACTGGGTAGTGTGTGCCAACACCCTGCTTGTCGTGATGTTAGAGCAGCTATAGGGGCATTTTTTTTTTTGACGGAAATGTCTGTTATCATTTAGTTTTTTTTTGGTTTTGAATGGTACCATTTTTGTCTGAAAAAATGAAATCTATCATGTAACCTGTTTCTCAGACATGCCTGGGTAGAGTTGTTTCAAAATTAGCACAATAATGTTATATTCATATACAGTGCACCTTAGTTTGCTGTGTCTGATTTAATTTAATTTGGTGCTGAAACAATCATATAATATGTCATTGGGAATTACTTTATAAGTTATGTATGATCCCTATTGCTGGGTATTGCAGTGTTATAACGTGCATCATTTCGATCATCATTCATTTTTTTATTCCATTCTTTTGAACAGATGAGATATAAATAGAGATTTACCAAGATGTGTGACCTTTTGGGGGTATTGCATCGTGTATATTGACCCCATGTGGATTTAGTACAGATTTAGTACAGCAAACCATTGGAAACACAAAATTCAAATGCTGCTACATATAAGGGTACTCTTGGCATAAAAAAGTGATTGTAACATACTCTATGAAACTGAAACTGACAAAAAATATGGAGGGAGTGAATACAGTAAATGTTCTGTCAAAATAAATCATATTTGCATGACAATTTCAGTACTTGAGACATTATATATGCCAGTCGGACACCGACATAGTCGGCATGGAACCAAAAATTACAAGTCGCCTCCATAGGCACACACAGCATCCAAAGATTAGTGAAGACTTGCATTACAATTTTCTGCCTTCCGATGAATTGATCGATAACATTTATTTTGAAACTGGATACGTTATGCTACATATGATTGGATATTGATTCCACGTAAGCAAATTCCAAAATTAGCTCTCATATTAAAAAAATCGCCAGGTGTGAATTTATAATGTCATTAGGATTTCTACACGAAAGTTATATAAAATCAATCATTGTTTTTTTATGTATAATAAATCAGACTTATCAGTATATGGTAATATTCTTGCTCGTAAAATGCACCGTTGATATCCTCATTAAATAACGTTGTTCAACACGTTTATATACAATGGCAGGTCAATATATCACTTATGTTATTTATTTAACAAATCCTGGCTATAATTTGGTTTTAAAAGGCTCACTAAACACATTCTTATATTCCGACTGTACCACCATCATTAAAATAAGCTGACATATTCAGATATCACATTGGCTGTCTCACTGTAACGTCATATGTTTACATTCATGCAAGGCAGCAATGCTAATCAACACAGGCTCACGATCTGATGCGATAACATTGCACATAGTTTCTTTAATTTATTAGCATGAACACATTGTGTGTATAATTAATAACAACCAACAATTTCGTTTTATTTTATTATCGAGTGCAGTGTCATAGTGGCATACTCAAATATTTAGCTGTTTTAGAATTATCTTTTCAATGTTTGAAATTATAAAATAATGGGAGGTGTTGGGCCAGATCATCACATTTCCCAACCTGACTGATAGAGGACGCTCTGATCTCATTGATCATCCCCACTTTTTACCGACATATCATCAGTGGAGAGGATACAGCCATATGATATAGTGCAAAAACTGAGAAAAGGAAGAAAACATGCCCTGTGTGACCAATTCGGTGCTTGTGTTGTTTAAAATACATTATTTGCTCACTGTAATGCACACAGTACTGAGTGCAGTAGTGGGAATGGGTGAAACATTTATTTTCTGAGAACTTAGTTACATGGTAACCACGAGGTTAACGCTGGTCTTTTGTCGTTTTATGGTTGGCAAACTGATTTATTGATGACTATAGGTTGATCAGGTTGTTTACTATGGACCGACTTATCTGCCACTCTGTGTTGTTGAAACGCTAATGACTAGAGAGTATGTTCTCCAACGAGTTCAATTTGCCCTGCAAGTGCTAATAGTGTGATCTCATTGGCCTGGGAACCCTTTTTGTTGAGGGCAACGACAGGGAAACTTTTTTTTTTAGTGGAAACTGTACTTACATAAAAAAATATCGCAGGGTGAGCGAGACAGCCTTTCGAGCAGGGTATAATAAAAAAACGTATTGGGGGGGAAATAACATCTGCTAAATGTAGGAAGCCGTGTGATATCAATAACTGATCGGTTGAGTGGTTGATGTATTCAAGACGCCCATAAAAGACAATGAATCGATGAATTACGCCACCAATCGGGGAGGGGAATAGGCAAAAAAGTGTTTTTTAATGAGGACAGGGGAAAGATGATTTTGGTTAGCAGGAGGGGAAAATAATTTGTTTAAAGATGGAGGGTAGCTTATAAACAGCTTTTAATTTCCCCTCGTTCATTTATATTAATTAGGATATTTTAAAAGACCCATAAAATTTTTTTTTTCCCAGAGAATTGACTATTTCAATTTATTGCCCGTTGACTGCACCTGAGAATACATATGGATTGACATGGTACAGTGCAATGCCGTCATAGCCCTTTGCGCTTTCCCTTCCACAGGTAGCCTTCAATTTCGTGGTCACTGCGCACGCTCATTTGCAGTTGTTTTACATACAAATTTACCACAAAGCGTAAAATAAATTATTTGTGACAGCAGAACTTGTTCTTTTAATGTCTGACTTTCGTAGAAACCTTAATACAAACAATTTTATCGGGGACTACGTTGTGAAAGAAAATTTTACTGTAGTAAAATGGCGCACTAAAACGTACGTATTTTGTCGTATATATTTAGGTGATAAACACTACAAATTGACTTTTAAAGGATTTGCTAACATTTCCATTTGTCATGTTTTCTGGTGAATATTGCTATTCCCATAGAACTCAAAGCTTAACTTTGTTAACCTACAGTGACTTGTAGTTCGAATATATTTGAATATGCAAATGAGTCGTATGCAAATCTAATGTTGCAGTGATGATCATAAGTAGCGCGCATCGAGTTGTGCTGAGTTCGGAGACAGCGGTGCGCGTCTTAGCGACTTAGAGTATTCTGTGACGTAGCGCCGCCCGAGAACAGAAACGCATATAACATACTTGCATTGTCCACGGGGAGTAGATAGTACCTAATTATGAAATAATTCATATGCTATCGCGAGAACGACCTCGAGCTCGATACAACGTATACGTGATGATAATGTAATAATATTCTTCATTGTATACTTAACTGTCTTCATTAGCACACAAATTAGATTCGAAATTATGCCTCCAACGATCAGTATCAAAGTTCCCGGCACAGTGTACTGTATCACCAATGAGAATAACATCCAAAAATACGTGTACCCCCCCCAAAAAAAAACCTCGCTCAACCACTCATACAAACACATAATTACCGGCATATTATGATTATTGCCGCCATTTATATGTTGGATGACTTTGAACATATCTTGAAATATGTAAACCACTTACATATTAAACATTTTCAGAAAAATATACAACTATATTCTTCTTTGTTTTCTAAGACACAAACGCCGATGCTTTGAACACCCCGGCCACTTGATTGACAAACCTCTGCAGTTTTTTTTTTAATTGAACGCGATTATTCATTGCATTTGCAAGTGTGAACCCATTCCGCTTCATTCCGTGGACAAATGACTTACAACAGTACGTGTAACGACGTTTATACGCGTAAACCCATTGTCAGTCTCCTAACTTTTGTTCAATGTGTAAAACACTGTGGCTTACGAGCCTAAATGTGAAAATAAAATTAAAATAAATGCTGTTTCCTTGTATTTTAATTTTCTTCTTAGAAGTCAAGTCATGTTGAATGGAAAGTTCAATTCTATTCAAATCTACTTTTAGATAGGAGAATCATTTCACTGCACCTGGACTTCTGGCGCCACTCACCGATATTCATATAACCTATGGGTTAATTGAAAACAGTTTTAGACCCGCCTTTCCGGGTTAGTAATGATTAGTTCGCATCTCAGAAACACGACGGCTAAGTCTCGCAGTGTACGATACCTAACGTAACGTGATAGCCGTTTTACGTCACCCGTACGTCATATCATGAATAAAACATGAGCGATCCAACCTCGTGTACATTCGTTTCTTTGTAAATCCTAGTTCATAATTCGTTACATTCAGTATTGATAATTCATTTTTCCAAGGTAAAGTTGTAATCGACGACACAGTTTCATGAAACAAAAATGTTTGCATATTGATTGATCTTTGGGCTGTTATTTTGTTTAGGGGCTTGTAACAATGTGTCAAAACCGGGCCACTCAGTGGTTATCGAAGGAAACATTCATGTCGGAAAGCCAGTTAACGCGACCAAAACAATATGAATACAATAACTAGAGCACTTTGAATAGTTTGACTACTTATATGCAAGACACGTACTGTCGTAAACTGTAATTATTTTTAGGGTAATGATATATAGCATCAACATAAATACAATCATACGGAAAATGTGCTTTTTCAAAAAAAATTGTGCCAGGTGTAAAGCGGATATAATTTGCAACTGAAATATATGATTTTCTACCGTACAGTTGAGATGAAGATAACTCATATTTCCAGTCGCCCCTCTCCCTCACGGGACAGGAGATCGCCTTTTATTTATGATTCAACAGCTCAAAGTCGTAAAGTGTTCACGTAAATTGATGATACAAGCTGTCGATCTCTGATATCAGGTGTGTGGTCTTTGAACGCTCCCTTTATGAGATACCTCAATCGATCAATCATATGTTCCTTTCAGCGTGTTTTATAATTGATGTAAATGTGCCAGCAATTAAAACAAACTATTTAATCACGATACTGTTTTCCAACTCCCTCGACGAAGATCACTGCATGTCTCAGTTACGTGCATAACGAGTTTAATATCATTCTGTTCGATCGATACTGTAGTATTTCTGTACACTCGCTTACAGTCGATTCATATAATGTGTGTATAAACGAACATGCACAAATTGCCGTAAACGTACATACCAATGATGTCAGCATTTGCCTTCCGCCAAAACATAACGTCATCGGTATACGTAAATAAGTCACTGTAGTACGTAAACGTAATCTGGATTAATTTTGTATAGCTTCTATACCCGATCGACAGAATGATTAGACGTCATCATCTCGTCACATCTCATGGCTTCATGTCAACAATACCTTATAAGCGTTACATGGTGTATCTTATACGGGATCGGAAAGAAAGCGATGACGTCATTAAAGCGCTGTGGTCGTCGCGCAGCGCGTGTTCAAATTTCATGTAAATAAACAATGTATTTTACACGCGTTGTATACGTCACTATGAGTCCCATATCGAACAGGACGCGGCACGACGACTGCCGCCCTTTAACTTTCCTTCTGTGTCCTAATTCATTTCTCCAGTACCATTCGCACATTTTATCTACAGTTTCGCCCACTTTAGCTTATGCAATTATCGTAACGGATGGATGTAGTAGTCATAGGCGTAGGCCTAGCGGTCTAATCTAATTTTACCTGGCATTTGAGCAATGTTTAATACAACAGCTGTTCAAGCGTGAGGGGGGCGCCATGCACTCACTCTCTGAATTCACTAGAAATATAACAGCTTAGAAGGAAAATACTGACAATTTTAAAACGTCTGAATAATCTGCTTTTAAAAATCCGTGTACAATAATATTCTAGTTGAATTATATTAAGCAGTACACGAGATGTCTTGTCTCAAATAATCCAATTATAAATGGACAGTTTATATAGTTAGGCTTATCTAAAACGCACAATTGAATCTCTCAATGCCTGTCTCAGAATCGTCACCTATAGTGCAATATATGGTAGTGTATGATATGCAATTTCCGGTTAGCATATCCGTAATTGACACCGAACATTAATAGAGCCCGTAATTTGGTAGCCGTCAGACAGAGTAAATAGGCAAAGCATTCCGTAATCAGGTAGCATTTCAAAATTGTTAAAAGCTGCTGAGACCAATAAATATAACTTATAGAAAATGGTAGTTGGTAATCGTAGTCCTTCAGGTTAGTACTTATTCAATAAAACCAGACATTTGGAACAACGTAACCTTTTTTCAGTGATAGAAATGAATAGATTCCATTAATATCTATCATTGCGAAAGGCATTTTCTAATTGGACGACAGCTGTTTTATAGCATGTTTCCCGGAAATGCTCGTGGGACCGAGACCTGTAAATGTCCGTCTCTATCATGCACACAATCACTTCAACGAAGGGGGTGGGGGTAGTTTAGAATTTCAAAGGGAAATTATTTTCCCGTTTCTCTGCATAAGCATCTCTAATCTAGCCCCGATTCGAATAGAATTATCTGTCGACCTCTTAACATTACAGAAAGTGACGTGCATAGATATATCAATTAAGACGGATTATTATTTTAATGTAATATTTAGCTCTTCGAGAGAACTTTGCTCACTCAGTGAGTCGTGTACGTTTCGTCTAAACTACATCATGTATACGATAGCGGGGATTCACAATACATTTTAATACACACGGATGCCAGAGATATATGCTCCAATTCCGGTCATTCATTTTTTGTGAATAACCATCAGCTGTTGTCATGGTGACCTATATTCCATGAACAGCTGGCTTCCGTCTAAACATGAAAAAAATGACGATTTGTTTTCGTAGACGTTTATTTATATGTATAGCTATTGTAATCTATAATCGACTTAGAAATAATAATGAACACCATGCACACACAGTCGGGCGATGTTTTACTGTAATCGTACTAATTCCACCAAACAGAGGCGAATGTCGAATGTCAAAGATGACCTTGGATTTTTTTCCCAAGGCCGTTGATTGAAGGACCAGTTTGTTTTCCAGTAGTAACGTGTTTTAATCAAACGGAGAACATAATTCAGTATAAAGAATTGTGCGTGTCTGCCTGGTACAATCAGAGAGAATCCTTCGTCCTGGGCATCAATGTGAATGCATTGTACCGTATAACGGAGGATAGGGAGTAAAATCATTCATAGGACACGGTGATCGCGCCGCATCGCCGGGAGTTATCGTTTGAACGCGTGATCCAGGATGATCAGCATGCTTACTTCCATTTGCGATTCATGGTTGACTTGTTGATTTACCATGACATTTGGTAAACTGTCGAACATCTATAGGGTATTAACGAGACTGGTGACGTCATTTCGTAAGTTATTGAGATCCAACGAAGAAGCATAACATGACGATGGGTAATCCACGATACGAGCAAGACATATCGACTCTCTAAATATCGAAAGTCAAACAGCATACTCACAATTATCGCTGCTATATGGCGATATTCGCAAGGGAAATCATCACTGATTAATAAAGTCAGAATTATTTAATTCACCGCTAGTTTTTTCATTCATAGCAATGTCGTAGCCTTCTTTGAGGCAATCTTTGATATAAAAAAACAAAAGCTTCCAAGATTCCTCGACTTCTGTTGTGAATCTCTGCCCCAGTTCCTCTTGCCATACACTTAACATGGCTTCCTCAAAGGCGTCGAAGTAGTCCGGTTTGAAACCTTTGAAACGTACATGTGTTTTGGCAAGTTTAACAAGCAGTGGTCTCAGCGCGTTGTCTAAATCGTTCAAATTATCGATGGCTGCTCCTACACTCTGCATAAACCGAGACGAGTGCATCCTGAAATGCGGATTTGCCGAAAGATTGTCTCTTCCCTCAATGTCTCTTGTCGGAAACATATACTTGATTTCTGGGTGCGATTCAAAAATATTAATGAAGATCTTCTGTCCGTTTTCTGTCATATCATTCGCCAGTGGTCGCCATGTTTTGCGCACAATTCTTTTTTGCCGGTCGTCTAAGAGGTGTTTGTCGTCCACTGGAGTTTGGAAATCGCGTTCGTTAATAGATGGTGTGCATCCCATGGCGCTTGGTTATCAGAGTGATATTACAGAACAGATTATTGCAGTCACAGTATCGAGTATGTCGTTCTCCATCAACGTTTTGCAGACTAATCGTAACCTTCCTTCCGTATCGCTCGTTCTCCACGTTTGACTCTTGATAATGGTTCGACCCGTACTTATAACCGGGATAGTACGCACAGTGTTGAATAACCACTGTTTATATGCAAATTAGAAAAAAAAATTTTTAACCTCTCGCCGAGTCAGTAATATACGTAGCACGTTGCGTGGTCTTTCTTCACGTACTTCCTTCATTATTGAAAAACAAACATCATGAGCAAACCGGAAGTCATGCGTGGATGATGCATTTATCTCTATAGCAACCAGTACGTCTGCCACTTCCCAACCTCGACCTGTTGGTTGGGATCATTCAACTTATAGTATGTATAAATTACTCCTTCAAAATTCCACTCTTCCTCAATGTCCGTTTTTATAACTTCTAGGTCACATGATTTGACCAAGTACCACTTTAAGGTAGCGGGAGTATTATTTTCATGGAAAATTTTCCATTATTTTCATTGAAAATTATTCATTAAAGCAGCATTCCTGCGGATCATCGCAGCTTATATTGTGAATTCAAGTTGAACAACTCACATGTATTTTATTGATAAACACATTATATTTTCGGGAAAAAAGAAATAGATGGAAAACGTTGCTCGCTGTATAGATTTTGTATAATTTTACATTCTTTTGTGAAATCCTAAAATTTATTCGATGTCGGGTTTTTTGAAATGAGGTTCATTGCTATTTATGTGCGTGTACCTCCAGGGGAGACGAGAAACACTGTCGTTAATCATAGGAAAGTAAATGGGTATCATTTGATTACTTCGACCGCTTATCACGGTGTTATACGTATTATCACAAGCATCTCGAAGCAACCTTGATCTCGATGTTAATCCCCGAATTCATCGGTATTTGTTGTTATTGTCGAAGAAAATCTCAGTGGATATATTATAAAATGTCATTGCTGTACCTGTAGATTACAGAATAGGAGAAAATTAGAATATATACGATTTTTCGTTTTTGTTTTTTTCAATAAGAAATTCCGTTACCACTGCGTAGTTTAATAAAAGTAGGGATATATAATTATTCTTAAGTAATTTAAATAATATATGTTGGAACACCCGTGGTTCAGTGAATGATCGCCCAAAGCATACTTGAAAATGACTATCGTAAATGTTATGTTCCACTGCTTATAGGTGTGTATCCACACGCCATAGAAGAATTTTGTACTTCTATGGCTTTACGTTTTTAAACCGATTGTATGATTTGTCCACTCTGTTTGCGTCCATAGCTTTGGCCTCCTTTGAAATAACATGAACTCAATGTAATGACAAACACGCGTTAATTCGAAATATTTAACAACAAATTGTGAAGATCCTAGAATCGTATAAAGTTCTATTCACAACGTATTATATTGAAAAATATACTAGTTTTTTTATACATTTTTATACAAATTTTGCTAGTCAACTTAGGTGCCAAATCAATAAATTTACATTGAAAAATAAAATAGTTATTTTTTTATACATTTCAAATACAGATTTTGCTAGTTAACTCTGGTGCCAAATCAATAAATTTACATTGAAAACTACACTAATTATTTGTTCATACATTTCAAATACAGATTTTGATAGTTAACTCTGGTGCCAAATCAATAAATTTACATTGAAAACTACATTAGTTATTTGTTCATACATTTCAAATACAGATTTTGCTAGTTAACTCTGGTGCCAAATCAATAAATTTACATTGAAAACTACACTAATTATTTGTTCATACATTTCAAATTCAGATCTCTAATTAACTCTGATGCCAAATCAATAAATTTACATTTAAAACTACACTAGTTATTTGTTCATACATTTCAAATACAGATTTTGCTCGTTAACTCTGGTGCCAAATCAATAAATTTACATTGAAAACTACACTAATTATTTGTTCATGCATTTCAAATTCAGATCTCTAGTTAAGTCTGATGCCAAATCAATAAATTTACATTAAAAAATAAGCAAGTTATTTTTTTTCATACATTTCAAATACAGATTTTGCTAGTTAACTCAGATCATAATAAAGATCTGTGTTTAGATAAGATTGAAACATTATTATTTACAAACGTGTGCAAAAAGCTCATTATAATTTATAAATTATTATATTAAAAAAAAACTCATCACTTATATCATTTCTTGGGCACGTAATACAAACATATTTTGCAATGTCTCCTCAATTAATAACATTGACAGAAATACTATATGAATAATTAACAATTTAGTTTATTCAAATAGATGTCCAAACGTTGTGTGAAAGTAAATTAAAGTAAAGTAAATTTGTGTCCATTAATGTGAATGAAATCATAGTACATACAATATCATGTTTGCTTTGATTCGAATCTCAGATTTATTCGAGCATATCCAACTGTACATTGACGGCTGATATCAATAAAAGTGGCATGTAGTCGAATTCCTGTCATCACTAAACCCCACATGTATTCTAGTCCCCATGGCAACCCTATTATTGATGACATTCTAGCCTGCGGTTAATGATACACGACATGGGAAGCATACACCGACACTTTGCATATACACCATATGTACATCTATGTACATTTCAACTCTCATCAGTCTTTGGTTACCCGGTATTTAAAGGGCGGTGGTCGTCGCGCTGCGCATGTTCGACATTTGTGTTGATAAAGATTGATTTTCCCACAATCCAATGCGCCATTCTAACGGAAATTCGATACCTTCCAATCACCTCAAAATACCTAATTAAAGATTGGTAACGTCTCAGTGTGTAATCGTTGGTCTGCGCTACAGTCAAAGTCGCTATCTTTGTTTATATGAGACCCATATATCTCGCGCATGCAGGCGCGACGACTACCGCTCTTTAACAGTCGCGGTGTTGAAGTTGACACATTCCAATTTGGTTCTTCCTTCATCACCCAGTGTCAATAAAATTGCGTTTTTATTTACAATTCCATCGCATTCATACTTGGACACTGTTTTGTGGCAGGTTTTAAATTCGTTCTGTCTCTTAGATGAAGGAGTTATATTTTCACACGGATTTCTCAGAGGAAATTAGTTATGTATAACGTTTATTTGCTTTAGCGATCACATCCGTGGATTTTCTCCCCCCTTGACCAGTCCGATAACGAAAGGCGTGATTGCCGCGTAATTAGATATCACTCTCGGCGATTCACCTTGAATGTTGAGCGATTTAATCCAAATAATACTCGTTTTTGTAATATACAATCCAATTTTAATCTATTTATTTACAAGTTTATACTACAAACTGAACGGATACAACTTGAATAAGATACACATCCGCAATTAGGAAGACTATTATTTTCAATTGCACTCACAATTTAAGTTCATTTTACCTTCCGTACTTCAACAAGTACATGCTTTGAGGCACGTTCTTCCATACGTACGTGTAACGCTGGGAGGCGAGCTTCATAGATTTTGTTTGTCCCTGTTTTTTCCCTTACCTTTAATTGTGTTATTGGAACAATATATGTAACTGTGACGCGATACACACTTCTAGTTTCGACCGATTTTTAATGCCAGTACTTCACCGATTCTAGAGTTTTCTCTCTACACTGGAACATGATTTCATTATCCAAACGCAGTGGAAATGTACTTCTGTCATGTGATTCCGTTCTTTTTTGAACAAGGAAAGGTCAATTGCCATTAGACGTATATAGTATTACCGGGCAATGTCAGACACAAGGACGCCGGTAATTAAATTCTACCGCTGACATACGTGTTAACAGTGACATCAATTGAAGGTCATTGGCGCACTTCAAATGAAAGTTTTTTCAGCTCGACATTTATAGGATCGCGCAACGTTGACGAATTGATCATTTAAATTATTTTATATTATTTTACCAGAAACTGTTTTATTTTTCAGCTTAAATGTCCGTGCGTCGGACATCTGCCTTTTGAGAGATTCCCAGTCGATTTCGTATATTGTAGTTCTGAGTATATTGTTGTGTATACACGTATACGTGTATTAAGAGGATAAATAGCCATTAATATACCATATAACACCATATAACCTATTCACCCCATGCCGGGAAAAATACAGAGATATTAAAAAATGCTTTCACCATCGGATGTAAA